GAAAGTTTTTTGAAAGCATTTCAACCTTATTTAAAAAAAACAAAAAAAAACCCAACTGTTTGACCATAAATGATCTCTTGCTGATCGATGGGTCGTTAAGTTTTAAACAAACAAACAAACAAATCTAACAAGTGCTTTCTTTTTTGGACACAGATTGTATAGAAACTGTCCAAATGTTCTTTAATTCTGAGCACTTTCGGATATGCTATTAGCCATTATCAAGGATAATTTTATTTATTCAGTTTAATTGAGTGTGTGCGTTGTGTGTATGTTTTTAGTGTTATAGAGATGTTTTATTTTCCAAACACAGTTAGCACATTATGGCGGTGTTCGTAGTTAATATTGTTAAGTGTTAAAGCCAACAAAAAAAAAAGAGAAACCTCCAAACGTTTTTGTCTACAAAACTCTGGAGTTGGTATGTGGAAAGTAACATCAATCAGTTGTGACAAATTTTACTCACATTAATCTTTTTTATATATATGTATATGCTGTTTAATAAATAAACAGAGCATCTACTCAAATAAGCATATCTACTAAAAATAATATTTAAAGTGATTATTTATATACACACACACACACACACACACAATGGTTGATTTATACAATTGATTGATTGTATTTTAAATTTCAAATTATTCAAGACCATTAAATTTACCACCAGAATCTTGAATTTTGCTGTTCTTTTTAATTTATTCCTCTCTAAATCATTGAAGAATCTCAGATTGGCATAAAGAAAGATATACAAGAAAAATAAGTATGAACAATATCTTTATTTTAACAGCAATAATTATAATATAAAAGAGAAAAATCTTTTTTTAATATAAATGATTTTTGAGAGAATGGATCATTTTCTCTTGTGGACATTTTATTTTCTGTTTAAAGACTTGTTTTTCTGATATATCAATGAATAATATCATATAATATGGAGTCAAATTTCAAATGAAAAATGTACATAAATTTAAGAGAATTATGTTAAATGGTAATACATTGAATTTGGTGAGACTTAAATAAAAACTGGAGTGGACAGGAAATGTTAAAATGAATAAGGGGGATAACTGGAAGGAGACAACCGGCAACTTCGGTAGAAATGTCAGATTCAGTTTTGGGCAAACATGGATAAACGTGTCAGCAATAAGACATTGTGTCAAACAGACGTTTTTCCCATCACACTGCATTTTTAACTACCTTCACTTATTATTATTGTTTGCTTTAAAAAGCAATGATTAGAATTGTAATAAAACCTAAACGTATGAAACTGAATTTATACATTCTCTTTGTTCTTGAGAATTGACAGCATAAATAGTAAACACTATTAGATTGTCTATTTACATTATTTGTTGTTTATTGGAATGGTTGGTAATTGCCAATTTATTCAGACTCTATAAAATGCTAAATAATAGGGATTTCCTTATAGTTCACATATCTTAATAATTTAGTAAATGTTTATAATTTCTTAATAAGAAATTGTTTTCATATTTACCTTTTATAAATTGTTTATTGATAAATAATGAATTGCATAAGTTTTAATTGTATTCGTTTTTACAATGTTGTAAATATAAAATTATTATTGTAAATATACAATCTCATAACTAAATTGTGATTAATATTTTTGTTGTAAATTCGCAAGAACAACAAGAGAAATGTATAAACTTTGCTTTCATCATGTGTTGGTTTTATTATAATTCTAATCATTGCTTTTTAAATAAACATTCCTGAGGAGTGAAAGTAGTTAAAATAATAGTGTCAATAAAAAGAAATCTCCTTGAAACACTACATTTTGTTTTTGCATGCATGAAGGTCCAAGTTTACCAAAATAATATGATAATCAACATATAAGATAGCTATGATGGCCAGAGAGTAAGCTGAAATGTTGGGTCTGTAATAACATTTGTAACAATTAAAGATCTAAATAATAGTTAAAATAAAGTCAATTTATAATTGCTCATTTCAAAAATCAAGCATGGCTACATACCAAAAAAAAAAAAAAAAAAAGGAAGGAAGATCCACGTACGTACAATACAGCTAATAAACACTATACAGTGAAACATATACTTTTAAAATGTATAGATTTAAGTTCGGTCCGTTGAAAAGTATTATCAGGCAAACAATGTCAGTGAACTCTTCAACACGATTGATCCAAATTAAATTATTTCATTCATTTTTTTCATCTTCACCCTGGGGTATTGATCCAAATTAAATAATTAAATTTCTTAAGAAAACCAAGATATATTCAAAAATTTAAGCAGTAACTAATCTTAGCAAATAAGTATACGAACAAAATAAACTAATCTCCAATTGAACTTCATACCAAAATCCTTAACTTTAAATGAATTCTTTTACAAAGGCTATCACTTTCAACTTAATGGTACTAAAATATTAATTACAAACTAAATTTAATGCACAAGGTATGATGTCCAATCAAATCTTATTAGTCATGAAATGACTTAATCTAGGTTGGTATGCTTTTAAACCCAACAATCAAATCAAAATCAAGCAAAAATTAAATAAATGATTTTTTTTTTTATGTATCAGTTTAATTCTCTATGATTTCAAATAGTAACTTTTCTTGACAAAGAATCTGGTCTTTGTATAAAATGATCATTCAGAAATGAGAGAGAAACAGAAATCCTTTAACATTCACATTTTTGTTTGTTATTTTCTTGTTTGATTCCCTGGTCTCAAATTACCAACATTTCATGGTGATCTTGTTTTTCATGTTAACTTTAAGGTAAGCCTTTTCTCTCCAAGTAATATGAGACACATTGT